TTTTGAGGTCTTGACCAATTTTGGAATCTCCAGGCTCAATTTTGGGGTCTTGACCAATTTTGGGGTCTCTGTGGTCACTCTTGGGGTCTCCATGGTCGGTTTTGGGGTTCCCATGACCACTGAGGTTCCATGAGGTCCTTGGGGGTCTCAGTGGTCGTTGCTGGGGTCTCCATGACCAATTTTGGGGTCTCTGTGGCCAATTTTGGGGTCTCCAGGGTCATTTTTGGAGTCTCCATGACCATGGTTGGTGTCTCCATGGTTTAGGGAGTCTCCATGACCATGGTTGGGGTCTCCAGGTCATTTTTGGGGTCCCCATGGTCGGTTTTGGGGTCTCCATGACCATTGAGGTTCCGTGTGGTCCTTGGGGGTCCCAGTGGTCGTTGCTGGGGTCTCCATGACCAATTTTGGGGTCTCTGTGGCCATTTTTGGGGTCTCCAGGGTCATTTTTGGGGTCTCCATGGCCATTTTTGGGGTCTCCATGGCCAATTTTGGGGTCTCCATGACCACTGAGGTTCCGTGTGGTTCCTTGGGGGTCTCAGTGATCATTGCTGGGGTCTCCATGACCATGGTTGGGGTCTCCATGGTCTAGGGGGTCTCCAAGGTTGGTTTTGGGGTCTCCAGGGTCATTTTTGGGGTCTCCAAGGTCAATTTTGGGGTCTCCATGACCAATTTTGGGGTCTCCATGGCCATTTTTGGGGTCTCCATGGCCAATTTTGGGGTCTCCATGACCACTGAGGTTCCGTGTGGTCCTTGGGGGTCTCAGTGGTCGTTGCTGGGTCTCCTGGGGTTTGTGGTGGGTCCGTGCTGGGTCAGTGTCCGTCTGTCCATGGCTGGTCAGTGTCCGTCTGTCCATGCTGGGTCAGTGTCCGTCTGTCCATGCTGGGTCAGTGTCCGTCTGTCCGTGCTGGGTCAGTGTCCGTCTGTCCATGCTGGGTCAGTGTCCGTCTGTCCGTGCTGGGTCAGTGTCCATCTGTCCGTGCTGGGTCAGTGTCCGTCTGTCCATGGTTGGTCAGTGTCCGTCTGTCCATGCTGGGTCAGTGTCCGTCTGTCCATGCTGGGTCAGTGTCCATCTGTCCGTGCTGGGTCAGTGTCCGTCTGTCCGTGCTGGGTCAGTGTCCGTCTGTCCATGCTGGGTCAGTGTCCATCTGTCCATGCTGGGTCAGTGTCCGTCTGTCCATGCTGGGTCAGTGTCCATCTGTCCATGCTGGGTCAGTGTCCATCTGTCCATGGCTGGTCAGTGTCCATCTGTCCATGCTGGGTCAGTGTCCGTCTGTCCATGCTGGGTCAGTGTCCATCTGTCCATGCTGGGTCAGTGTCCATCTGTCCATGCTGGGTCAGTGTCCGTCTGTCCATGGCTGGTCAGTGTCCATCTGTCCATGCTGGGTCAGTGTCCGTCTGTCCATGGCTGGTCAGTGTCCATCTGTCCGTGCTGGGTCAGTGTCCGTCTGTCCATGGTTGGTCAGTGTCCGTCTGTCCATGCTGGGTCAGTGTCCATCTGTCCATGCTGGGTCAGTGTCCGTCTGTCCGTGCTGGGTCAGTGTCCGTCTGTCCATGGTTGGTCAGTGTCCATCTGTCCATGGTTGGTCAGTGTCCATCTGTCCGTGGTTGGTCAGTGTCCGTCTGTCCATGCTGGGTCAGTGTCCGTCTGTCCATGGTTGGTCAGTGTCCGTCTGTCCATGCTGGGTCAGTGTCCGTCTGTCCATGGTTGGTCAGTGTCCGTCTGTCCGTGCTGGGTCAGTGTCCGTCTGTCCGTGCTGGGTCAGTGTCCGTCTGTCCATGGCGGGTCAGTGTCCATCTGTCCATGCTGGGTCAGTGTCCGTCTGTCCATGGTTGGTCAGTGTCCATCTGTCCATGCTGGGTCAGTGTCCATCTGTCCGTGGTTGGTCAGTGTCCGTCTGTCCATGGTTGGTCAGTGTCCATCTGTCCATGCTGGGTCAGTGTCTGTGTGTCCATGCTGGGTCAGTGTCCGTCTGTCCATGGTTGGTCAGTGTCCGTCTGTCCATGGCTGTCAGTGTCCGTCTGTCCGTGCTGGGTCAGTGTCCGTCTGTCCATGGTTGGTCAGTGTCCATCTGTCCATGGCGGGTCAGTGTCCGTCTGTCCATGCTGGGTCAGTGTCCGTCTGTCCATGCTGGGTCAGTGTCCGTCTGTCCATGGCTGTCAGTGTCCATCTGTCCATGGTTGGTCAGTGTCCGTCTGTCCATGCTGGGTCAGTGTCCATCTGTCCATGGTTGGTCAGTGTCCGTCTGTCCGTGCTGGGTCAGTGTCCGTCTGTCCGTGCTGGGTCAGTGTCCATCTGTCCGTGCTGGGTCAGTGTCCGTCTGTCCATGCTGGGTCAGTGTCCATCTGTCCATGGCGGGTCAGTGTCCGTCTGTCCGTGCTGGGTCAGTGTCCGTCTGTCCATGGTTGGTCAGTGTCCGTCTGTCCGTGCTGGGTCAGTGTCCATCTGTCCATGGTTGGTCAGTGTCCGTCTGTCCATGCTGGGTCAGTGTCCATCTGTCCATGGTTGGTCAGTGTCCGTCTGTCCGTGCTGGGTCAGTGTCCGTCTGTCCGTGCTGGGTCAGTGTCCGTCTGTCCGTGCTGGGTCAGTGTCCGTCTGTCCGTGCTGGGTCCCAGATGACCTTTGACCACAACAATCCCAATTTTAACCCTTTCCCTCCCACTTTTAACCCTTTCTTCCCCATTTTTAACCCTTTCTCTCCCATTTTTAACCCTTTCTCTCCCATTTTTTCCCCCCACATTCACCTCTTTATTTTAAATTTTTTTTGCCTTTTTTTCCCCCCCAAATCCCCCCCTTTTTAACCCAAATCTCCCCTTTTTTCTTCCCCTCTCCCCCTCCCTTCCCCAGCCAACGTCCCCGAGGAGCTCCGGGACCCGTTTTACACCGACCAATACGCGCAGGAGCACCTGAAGCCGCCCGTGGAGCGCCTCCTGCTGGCCACCGACATTTACTGCAGGGCCTGGAGCCACGCCCTGGCCACGCCCCCCGGGCTGGCCACGCCCCCCGCGGACCTGGGGGCGCTGCTGGCGCTGCTGGCGGGGCGGGGCCTCCCCCCCACCCTGCAGGGGGTCCCGGTGCGAGCGCAGGACCTGCAGCAGAAACCGATCCGGATGGTACTGGGAGCACTGGGATGAACTGGGAGGGGAGACTGGGAGCACTGGGAGGGACTGGGAGGGACTGGGAGGGTACTGAGAGGGACTGGGAGGGACTGGGAGGGGATTGGGGGGGTACTGGGAGCACTGGGGGGGACTGGGAGCACTGGGAGCACTGGGAGCACTGGGAGGGACTGGGAGGGGATTGGGGGGGTACTGGGAGCACTGGGAGCACTGGGAGCACTGGGATGAACTGGGAGCACTGGGAGGGACTGGGAGGGACTGGGAGGGACTGGGAGGGACTGGGAGGGGAGAATGGGAGCACTGGGAGGGACTGGGAGGGGATTGGGGGGGTACTGGGAGCACTGGGAGGGGAGACTGGGAGCACTGGGAGGGGTTTGGGGGGGATACTGGGAGCACTGGGAGCACTGGGAGGGACGGGAGGGGAGAATGGGAGCACTGGGATGGACTGGGATGGACTGGGAGCAGAGACTGGGAGCACTGGGATGGACTGGGAGCAGAGACTGGGAGCACTGGGAGGCACTGGGAGGGGGGACTGGGAGCACTGGGAGGGACTGGGAGCGGAGACTGGGAGCACTGGGAGGGGAGAATGGTGTTACTGGGAGCACTGGGAGGGACTGGGATGGACTGGGAGGGGAGTGGGGGGGGGTACTGGGAGCAGTGGGATAGACTGGGAGCACTGGGAGGGGAGACTGGGAGCACTGGGAGGGACCTGGGGGGATTGGGGGGGGTACTGGGAGCACTGGGAGGACTGGGAGGGGTTTGGAGGGGACTGGGAGTGGATACTGGTGGGACTGGGAGCACTGGGAGGGGGTATTGGTGTTACTGGGAGCACTGGGAGGGGTTTGGGGGGGGGATACTGGGAGCACTGGGAGGGATTTGAGGGGACTGGGAGGGGGGTACTGGTGTTACTGGGAGCACTGGGAGGCACTGGGAGGGGTTTGGGGGGGGGTACTGGTGTTACTGGGAGGGGTTTGGGGGGGTACTGGTGTTACTGGGAGCACTGGGAGGGGTTTGGGGGGGGTACTGGTGTTACTGGGAGCACTGGGGGGGGTACTGGTGTTACTGGGAGGGGTTTGGGGGGGTACTGGTGTTACTGGGAGCACTGGGAGCCGCCTGTGGCCCCCCCCTCATTAATCTCATTAAGGCTCAGCCGCTTTAATTGGCTTTAATTGGCTCAGGCCAATCCCATTAACCCTCCCCGCCCCGTGGCCACGCCCCCTTTTCCACGGACCACGCCTATCACTCATGACCACGCCCATTTGTTATTGACCACGCCCCCTCCCGATTGGCTACGCCCACCCCGGGGAGGCCTGGGAGGGCGGGGGAGGCACCGGGAGCCCCAAAATGCCACAAAATGTCCCCAAATCTCCCCCAAAATGCCCCGAAAATGCCCCAAAATCCCTCAAAAATGCCTCAAAATCCCCCAAATCTCCTCAAATTCCCCCTAAACACCCCCAAAATCCCCCAAATCCCCCCAAATTCTCCCAAATCCTCCCGAAATGCCTCAAAATTCCCCCAAATTTCCCCCAAATCCCAAAATTTCCCCCAATTTTCCCCCCACCAGGTCCCCAGACCCCCAAATTTTCCTCCCCTGGACCCCAGAACCCCAAAGTTTTCCCCCAAATCCCCAAATTTTCCCACAAAAACCCAAAATCTTCCCTCAGATTTCCCCCTCCGAGTCCCCCAAACCCCCAAATTTTCCTCCCCTGGACCCCAAAACCCCCAATTTTTCCCCCTCAAACCCCAAATTTTCTTCAAAAACCCCAATTTTCCCCCCCCAAAAACCCCAATTTTTTTCCCCAAATCCCCCAAATCCCCAAATTTTTCCCAAAAACCCCAAAATTTCCCTGCAGGGCGCCCACCTGGCCCTGATCGATTCCCTCATGGCCGCCTTTGTCACCGAGGCCACCCGAAATTTGGGGACCCCCCCTGGAGCACCCTCGGGACCCCAATCCTGGGAACCCAAAATTTTGGCCTGGTTGGAGACGGTGAGTTGGAATTTTGGGAGGTTTTGGGGTTTTTTTTTGGGGTGAAAAAGGGGAAAAATTGGAATTTTTGGGGTCTTTTTTTTAGGTGAATCGGAAGCTGCAGGAAAGCAGCGAAAAGGAGGGGGGGGGGACAGCCCCGAATTTGGGGGTCCCCGAGAGCTCCACGGCACCCCCGGGATGCAGCCACAAGGTAAAAAAAAACAAAAATAAAATTATTCCAAAAATCCCCCCTAAAATGCGCCAAAAAATCACAAAGAATCATTAAAAATCCCCCCTAAAAAATCAAAATAATTCCCAGAAAAATCTCCAAAAATCGGCAAAAAAATCATAAAAATGTCTCACAAAAAATCCCTAAAAACGTCTTCAAAACATCGACAAAAATGCCCAAAAACCAGAAAAAAATTGCTCTGAAAAAATCAAAAAAGGTCCCAAAAATCCCTCCAAAAATATTACCAAAAACCACAAAAATCCCAAAAAAATCCCTCCAAAAAATCACAAAAATCCCAAAAAAAATCCCTCAAAAAAATCACAAAAAACCACAAAAATCCCAAAAAATCCCTCCAAAAATCACCCAAAAAATCACAAAAAAAAATCACCCAAAAAATCACAAAATATCCCCCAAAAATCCCAGAAATTAAAAAAAAAAATTAAAAAATCCACATAAAAATCATTAAAAATTCCCAAAAATTCCCAAAAAATCATCAAAAAAATCCACAAAAATCATTAAAAAATACCAAAAAAAAAATCCCCAAAAAACTCCAAAAACTACCCAAAAACACCCTTAAAAATTACTGAAAAATTCCCAAAAAAAATCACGAAAAAACCACAAAAATGGTTTAAAAATTCCAAGTAAAATGCTCAAAAATCACCCAAAAATCCTAAAAAATTCCCAAAGAATCCACAAAAAATACCTAAGAAAGTCTCCCAACATTTCTAAAAAGGTCAAAACAAATTACAAAAAACTTCCAAAAAAATTCCTCCTGAAAATCCTAAAAAATCCCAAAAATCACCAAAAATTCACAAAAAAATCCCCCAAAAATCCTAAAAAAATCTAAAAAAATCCCAAAAAATCTTTTAAAAAATCACCAAAAATTGCTAAAAAGTACCTTCAACATTTCTAAAAAAAATTTTTAAAAGCTCCAAAAATTTCCAAAAAATCACAAAAAAAATCCTAAAATATCCCAAAAAAATCCCAAAAATATCTTTTAAAAATTCCCAAAAATCACCAAAAATTCACCAAAAATCCTAAAAAAATCTAAAAAGAATTCCCCAAAAATCTTTAAAAAATCAGCAATAATTTAAAAAAAAGACCTACAAAATTTCTAAAAAAATTTTTAAATTACGAAAAAGTTCCAAAAAATCCCCTCAAAAATCCCTCCAAAAATCCTAAAAAATCCCAAAAAATCACCAAAAATTCACAAAAAAATCCTAAAAAAATCTTTAAAAATCTAAAAAAATCCTAAAAAATCTAAAAAAAATCCCAAAAAAATCTAAAAAAAAATCCCAAAAATTCACCCAAAAATCCCCAAAAAATCCTAAAAAAATCTAATAAAAATCCTAAAAAAAATCTAAAAAAAAATCCTAAAAAATATTTTAAAAATCCCAAAAAATCACCAAAAATTCACAAAAAAATCCCCAAAAAATCTTTAAAAAATCAAAAAAAAAATCCCCAAAAATCACCAAAAATTCACAAAAAAATCACAAAAAATACTAACAAAAATACTAAAAAAATCCCCAAAAAATCACCAAAAATTCACATAAAAATCCCCAAAAAATCCTAAAAAAATACTAAAAAAAATCCCAAAAATCACCAAAAATTCACAAAAAAAATCCCAAAAAATCCTAAAAAATATTTTTAAAAATCCCAAAAAATCACCAAAAATTCACAAAAAAATCCCCAAAAAATCTTTAAAAAATCAAAAAAAATCCCCAAAAATCACCAAAAATTCACAAAAAAAATCACAAAAAATACTAACAAAAATACTAAAAAAATCCCCAAAAAATCACCAAAAATTCACATAAAAATCCCCAAAAAATCCTAAAAAAATACTAAAAAAAATCCCAAAAAATCACCAAAATTCACATAAAAAATCCCCAAAAAATCCTAAAAAATATTTTTAAAAATCCCAAAAAATCACCAAAAATTCACAAAAAAATCCCCAAAAAATCTTTAAAAAATACTAAAAAAATCCCAAAAAATCCCCAAAAATTCACAAAAAAATACTAAAAAAATACTAAAAAAATCCCCAAAAAATCACCAAAAATTCACAAAAAATTCCAAAAAAATACTAAAAAAAAATCCCAAAAAATCACCAAAAATTCACATAAAAAATCCCCAAAAATCACCAAAAAATCTAAAAAAAAAATCCCAAAAAATCACCAAAAATTCACAAAAAATCCCCTAAAAAATCCCCTTTTTCTTTCTCCAAAACTCCCCATTTTTCCCTTTCTGTCTGTGCTGGGTGTTGGGAGTCGCTTGGTGCCATTTGGGGACCCCTCCCCAAACGGGGCCCCCCCTTTGCTGACCCCCCCTCTTTTCTCAGTGTCCCACCCGCTGGTACTGGAAGTTGGTGCCCGTAAGTGGGGGCTGAGCTCTGGCCCAAAATTCCCTTTTTTTACCCCAAAATTTCACCCCCAGATCCTTCCCCGCCTGTTCCAACCCATCCCAGATTTTTGGGGGGTTCCAAAAATTCCAAAACCCCCCCAGAATTTGGTAGGAATGGGAGCTCCAGGTGGGAATTGGGAGGGTTGAGGGATGCTAAGGGGGGGAAAAAAATGGGGAAAAATTGGAATAAAAGATAAAAGAAAAGTGGGAAAAAATGTTTTAAAATACTCAAAAATTATTAGGAAATTATTGCACAAAACTGTTTTAAAAACTGGTGAAAATATTTGAAAAATTTGGAAAATATTCAGAAAATTGTTTGGGAATGATTGCAAAAAAAAGTGAAAAAAATTGGGTAAAGTATTCCAAAAATATTGGGGAAAAAAATTTTAAAAATTGGAAAAATGTTTTAATAAATTGGAAGAAATATATTAAAGAATATGGGAAAAATTGCAAATTATTTGGGAAAAAGTTCAAAAATTAATTGGAAGAGTATTTTTAAAAATTGGAAAAAATATTGTGAAAAAATTTGAAAATATTCAGAAAATTATTTGGGAATGATTGCAAAAAACGTGAAAAAAATTGAAAAGAATTGGGTAAAGTATTCAAAAAATATTGGGAAGTATTCAAAAATATGTGGGAAAAATAAAAAAATAATTGGGGAAATATTTGTAAAAATTGGAAAAAAAAATTGCAAAAAAATTGGGAAAAAATCAGAAAAATTTCCCAAAAATTTGGGAATAAAATTCTAAGATATTAAAAAACTATTGGGAATAAAATTGGGGAAAACTTCCAGAAAAAAATTCCAACAAATTTGGAAAAAAGAAATGGAAAAAAAAAGAGAAAAAAAAATCCAAAATTAATGCAGAAATTTTGGAAGGAAATTCCCAAAAACTGGAGAATAAAATTCTCAGAAATGGAAATAAATTAGAAAAAAAATTCTTTTAAATTAAAAAAAAAATCCAGGAAAAAATTTTAAAAAACTGGAAAGAAGTCCAAAAAAACAAAAAATTGAAAAAATTCAAAAAAATTTGGGAAAAAATTCTTCAGAAATGTCAAAAAAAAAATTTAAAATTGGAAAAAATTGCTTAATTTTTTTTTTTTTTTAATTCTGAAAAAGTCCAAAAAAGATTCGGGAAAAGAATTGGAAAAAATTCTCAAAAATCTCCAAAATTTCCCCCAAATTTTGGGGTTTCTGGGACCCCCCCAGCATCCTCCCCTCCCCCCCCTTTTCTGTGTCTTGTCTCGAATTTTGGGGAGGGGGGAGGGGCACGAAGCTGCATGGAGGGGGCGGGGCATGCAAATGAGTATCACCGTATGCAAATGAGTGGGTGGGGCATGAAATGTGGGCGTGGCTTGGGGAGCCCTCACGTTTTAGACGCCATTTTGGGGATTTTTTTCAGATTTTTTTTTCCCTTTTTTTTCTTTCTTCTCTCTCAATTTTTTAAATTTTTGGGGTCCCCTCCTCATTTTTGGGGTCCCTTTTCCTTTTTTCCTTTTTTTAATCCTTTTTTTTCCCCTTTTCCCCCCCTTTTTTTAGCATTTTCCCTCAATTTTTTTCAAATTTTCCCAAATTTTTTCCAATTTTCTCTGCTCCCAATATTTTGTAGCCCTCTCACCAATTTTAGGATTTTCTTTCCTTTTTTTTCCCTTTTTAATATTTTCCCATTTTTCCCTATTTTTTTCCCATTTTTTTCCTCATTTTTCCTCATTTTTTCCCTTTTTTTCCCAATTTTCCCCAAATTTTCACTGCCCTTCATTTTTAGGGGCCCCCTCACCAATTTTAGGCTCTTCTTTTCTTTTTTCCCCTTTAAATTTATTTTTTCCCATTTAAAAAATATTTTCCCCGATTTTTTTCTCATTTTTTTTCCTCATAGTCCCCCATTTTTCCCAAAAATTTCCAATTTTTTTCCAATTTTCCCTACCCTTCATTTTTTGGGGTGCCCTTTCCATTTTTTGGGGGTTTTTTTTTCTTCTTTAAATCCATTTTCCCTCAATTTTTAAAATATTTTTCCTCCATTTTTTTACTTTTTTTTTTCCTCATTTTTTCCCAATTTTTCCCCAAAATTTCCAATTTTCTCCCGAATTTTCCCTACCCCCCATTTTTTGGGGCACTCTTTCCATTTTTTGGGGTCCCATTTTCATTTTTGGGCTCCCAGGGGGAATTTTGGGGCCCCCCTGACTCTGTTTTTTCCCACAGCACGCCATCGCCTTCTGTTTGAAGGAATCGGGGAATAAACCTCCGGTGGTAAGGACCCCCCCCAAAATCCAAAATTTGGCATGGGGGCACCCCCAGACCCCTCCCCAAAATCCAGGACCCCCCCCAAAAAAAATTTCACCCCAAAACCCCCAGTTTTGTGGCATTTTTGGGGGCATTTTTAGGGGTTTTTAAGGGTATTTAAGGGTGGGACCCCCCCAAAATTTTGCCCTTCCCCCAAAAATTTGGGGTCCTTGCAAAAAAATTTGGGGTCCCCTCCCCTGCATGTTCCTGTTTCGGGGGGGTGGGAGGAATTTTGGGGGATCTGGGGGTTCCAGGAGGGTTTTTGGGCTCACCTTGACTCTTTTGTAAGGGAATTCCTCCATTTTGGGAGGGTTTGGTGTCCCCTCCTTCGGAATTTTGGGGGGTCCCCAACCCCTCCCTAAATTGGGGGAATTTTGGGGACTCCTCCCTTTATAATTTTGGGATGTTTCCCCCAAATTTGGGGCCCCATTTTTGATATTTTTGGGGTGATTATGGGGGAATTTTGGGGTTCCCACCCTGAGGGGATTTGCGGACTCTTCCATTGCTATTTTTGGGCGGGGGGGGTCCCTTTTCTGTGGGGTGGGATTTGGGGCAAATTTGGGGGGGGGTCCTGCCACTTTAGGGTGGTTTTGGGGGTTTTGGGGTCCCCTTTTTTTATTTTTTGGGGGAGCCCTTCCACTTTGGGGGGGTTTGAAGAGGTTTTGGGATTTTGAGGACCCCCTTGACTCCCCCCTCTCCCAATTTTTCCCGCCAAGATTCGGTACCGGAAGGACAAGGGAGCTCCTCCGGCGCCTCCCCCATTCCCACCTGTGAGGGGCCTGCAGGATTTGGCCAGTGGGGGCGTCCTGGCGGCCGCCATCCACTTCTACTGCCCCCAATCCCTGCGCCTCGAGGGTAAGGAGGGACTTTGGGGCAAAATTTAGGGGATTTTGGGGTTTTTTTTTGGGAGTCCCATGGATGCAGGAATCTGCTAGGGGGCGCTGTGGTGCGGCTGGACCGGACCAATCTGAGGGGGGACATGAGGGGGGACATGGCAGGGGTTCCATAGGGAAATCAGGGAGTTCCATGGGGAGGAGGTGTTAATAGGGGGACATGGGGGGGTCTTTGAGAGGTTTTTAGGGGAATTATGGGTCTATTAGGGGGTTCTGAAGGGTTTTTGGGGTCTTTTTTGAGGTGTGACCCCCGCCCCCAATTCTGGAATTTTCCAGCGATCCGGACCAGCCCAACTTGAGGGCGCCATGGGGGGATCCCATGGGGAAAATAGGGGGGACAGTTCCAATAGGGAAACACAGGGGAGTCTTTGGGGGGTTATGTGTCAATGGGAGGGTTATGGAGGGGAATCTGAGGGGTTTTTGGAATCTTTTTTTGGGGTGTGACCCCACCCCCAATTCTGGAATTTTCCAGCGATCCGGACCAGCCCAACTTGAGGGCACCATGGGGGGGTCCCGAGTTGAAAACAAGAGCAAAACTTGGGGTCCTAAAGGGCAGAACCCCAATGAGGGGTACAGGGAAGTCCCATAGAGGAGGGGCTCCAGGAGGGATTTTGGGGTGCAACCCCCATTTTTTCCCTCTGGAATTTTCCAGAAATCCGCCTTGGGGCTCCGCTGGCACTCCCGGACCGGCTGCACAACCTGGGGCTGGTGCGCGACTTTGGCGCGCGCCACCTGCGCACGCGCTGCCCCCTGGCTGTGGAGGACCTGCTCTACATGGCGCCAGCCCTGAAGGTAAAAACTGGGATAAATTGGGTTAAACTGGGATAAATTGGGTTAAACTGGGTGGGGAGTGGGTGAAACTGGGAGGGACTGGGGGAAACTGGGAGGGAATGGGGGCAATGAAGGCAATGGGGCAACATGGCGGCCACCCTGAGGGGAAAACTGGGAAAAAAAAAGGGACAAACTGGGGAAACTGGGTTAAACTGGGCGAGAAGTGGGTGAAACTGGGAGGGACTGGGAGAAACTGGGGAAAGTGGGAGTGAATGGGGGCAATGAGAGCAATTGGAACAATGGAGCAACATGGCAGCTGCCCTGAGGGGGGGACTGGGGAGAAACTGGGTTAAACTGAGATAAACTTGGAGAAACTGGGACAAACTGGAGAAAACTGGTCAAACTGGGTGGACTGGGAGGGACTGGGAGCAAGTGAGGGCAATGGAGGAACATGGCGGCCAGTTCTGATGGGGAAAACCAGGTTAGACTGAGGAGAAACTGGGAGAAACTGTGAAAACTGAGGCAAACGGGGATAAACTGGGGGGAAATTGGGTTAAACTGGGCTAACTGGGAAAAATTTGGTGAACTGTGAGGGACTGGAAGTAATGAGGGCCATTGGACAAAATGGCGGCCAATCCTGAGGGGAAAACTGGGTTAAACTGGGGAGGAAACTGGGACAAACTGTGAGAAAATGTGGGAAACTGGGAATAAACTGGTAGAAACTGGGGAAAACTGGGATAAACTGGGGGAAACTGGGGGAAATTGGGAGAAATTTGGTGAACTGAGAGGCAATGGAGGCAATGAGGGGCAATGGGGCAAAATGGCAGCCAATCCTGAGGGGAAAACTGGGTTAAACTGGGGAGAAACTGGGACAAACTGTGAGAAAATGTGGGAAACTGGGATAAACTGGTAGAAACTGGGGAAAACTGGGAGAAACTGAGGGAAACTGTGAGAAATTCGGTGAACTGAGAGGGACTGGAAGCAATGAGGGCCATGGGACAAAATGGCCGCCAATCCTGAGGGGAAAATGGGATAAACTGTGAGAAAATGTGGGAAACTGGGACAAACTGGTAGAAACTGGGAGAAATTGGGATAAACTGGGCAAACTGGGAGAAACTGAGGGAAACTGGGA